GGGTGAGGTCCACAGTTTTCCCACGACACGGAATTGCCTCCGACTCCTTGTTCTCGACTCGAGAAGGTACAATCATCATTGGCCTACCCGTCCACGCTGGCCAGACAACGTTGTAAGAGGTGAATATACTCACAATGTACGCCCACCACACACGACCCGTGCTGTACCCATCGACTCCGGTGGATGGACAGAGGTGGGGACATTTAAGAAACTTGCTCCCGTTGTTTTAACTGCCACGCTGGGAGATATAGGGATTACATTATTATTCTATTACTGAAGTGCATTTTTTAAATTTAGTTGTAATTTTCAAAAGTGAAAATTGCTCCGCGACACGCACACAATTTACACAATACACCTTCTTGTGAATGAGATGCATTGTACGTATTCATTATAACAGATACCATCGCCGTGATTGGAACCTTCTGCCATTAAGCCCCTGGGATTGAAAGCACTTAACCACTGTTATCATTAAACACTGCCTCGCAACCGAACACCATGAATAACGTGTTTGGGCAATGTCCCGTTTATCCGGAATTAAAATGTTGACAGCTTGAAAACAATGACATATGAACACACAACTGGTACGTCATCTAGTCCAGGGGTCAGCAACCTACGACTCTGGGTGCACATGCGGCTCCTTTAAAAATATATCCTACACATACGGCTCTTTAATGACTGTTTCGTGACGTTATTTATTAAGGACTATCTGGCATTCACATGCATTGCAGCTCTATTACCGAATTCAAAGAAAACGGCTCTTCTTGTTATTTTGGTTTGCCGACGATCAGTATTTGCAACAATGAAGCTGCTCCAAATGTCAGCGTTCTAAAGGCTCTGCTGCAGACAGCGCGATGTTAAATATACCCATTTTATTTGCAGCTGTGACAACACGGTGCATTTTTAATATGAGATATGTGCATATTGCGGTGCAGTATATCAAAAAATACGTAATAATGCAAAGCTTTTCTACATTGCACCATATCAATCTTTTTTAATGAACAAAGTTTTGGCACATACGCGGTGCAAACGTTATCTCGCGTATGAGTACCACTACACACGCACGTGTGTGTGTGTGATGGTTATAACTTACCAGATAGCAACTGTCTTGAATAGATGGAATCGCCAGAACGGATACTTATACGGGTCATGAACCTTGCAATAATCAAACATTCCCCCATTGCATGCCTGCTGCATGTTGTACCATACATACGGAGTGGGGGGGGGGGGGTCACGACCCCCCCCCCCCTCTCTTACAAGCTGCTGTCAATCAAAATGCAGCAAACTCGCCGTTACAAAATCACGTGCGAATTAATGCGAGGGGTCCACAGTTTTCCCCAGTCTGTGGCTTATTCACGACCCAGAATTGCCTCCCGTATTATTTACCCATATCCTGATTTTGTTTTAATTATTACAGTACATACAACGCTGTAATATATTAAAACACAATCCTCCACGGGCCTCTACGAAATACTGCCACACAGCAAGCGCATACTACATGCTTTAGCGGCGCAGCCATGGAGGATACTGGCGGAGGAGTGATGTAAGCCATTCCTCCCTCCTGCTGTTGGAAATTTTAATCCAAGCCACGCTCTTGCGGCAAAACAGCTGATTTGTGAGCCATTCATCAGGCTCGCAACATCAATCCGTCCAGTCACACTGGGGCAGCATTACACTCGCTGATGTACAGCGCCGAATCTGCTCCAACGCACCGCGTGTATGTTGCAGCTCGCCGTGGGAGCTGGACAACTTAATGATGTATTAAACAACCCTACTCACAAACCCCTCTCATTTATGCAAATCAGCCCTGAACGACCACATCAGCCTCAATGCGTCTGATTCTTAGTTAGAGCTCGTAAGGCAAGAAGGTGTGAGCCGGGTTTGCGCTTGGTTTGGAATACCAGGTGCTGAAGAATTGTACTGTTAGGTGAGCAGGTGATGCATGTACAGCAAAGGATTATTGAATCCATCTGTGTGGAGCTTTGGAGAGTTACCCCCTCTGGACACTCCAGTTCCTGCGACTTGCAGCCAAACACTGATTAATGGAAATGTCCAATGTTGGCTCCACATGAAAGAGTTTTCTGACTCGAGACGATTGTCTGGCTAAATAAGGTACATTGCATGATTATTTTGCATGCAATCGAGTCAATAAGGTTGCATATCTAGCAGTGGATGGATGGGGGACCGAGGTTACTGTTATTACGAGAGTGGAGCCGCGGTCACAGTGGTTACTACGCCACGCTATGAACCCGGTCACTCGAGTTCCATTCCTAACCACGGTCTTATTGTTCCGTACATAGTTCAAGTACCGTACACCACATTTCCCAAGATATGAATAATAATGATTGACAGTCTATTTTCCATCCACTGCTGGATAAAGGCCCACCACGCCGTGTTGGAAAACGATCGCTTGTGTTGTGATCGTAACGTCATGTTTTTTTTTAAATTAATTAATTTTCAACCTATCTACGTGACTTTACCGAAAGACCCAAAGCATATGGTTATGAGGGTGTTTGACCATACTGCATCATGCTGGTTAGTGTGGCTAAGCGATCTTTGGCAGGAGGTGTGGGGCTAGAGTCGGTTCAATAGATATCACGCGCCACTGATGTTTTTCCATGACCCTGAATCGAACTCGAGTCATTGGTTTGTATCGCACGACATGACGCAACGACTGCGTTCACAACCCCAACAATTAATATTACTACTTTGCGCGAAGAGTGGACAAATAAAACGTCAACACTAATCTTTAACTGTTGCGTACCACCGCCTTATTTTGCCCTTGTTAAATATCTGCATAAAACACTGCAACATGCATCGTGTATTACATGTTTATCTTGCACAAATAGTCCCGTTCCCAGTCCCTCGCCGTCGTGCGCGTGTCTTTGTCTTCACCCTTCTAAGCCCCTCTCAACATAGCGTGTGCTCTCCCCCGCGAGGTGCCCTGATTTGCTGTTGATTTTGGCCACCAAGAAGTAATTAAGCCAAGGAATTACACGCACGTGGACGCGCATGTTTACTCTGAGCATCCAATCAACAACACTGGCGCGGAGGGCAAGTTCTGCCAGCAGCGAGCAAATGTGCAGGTGAGACTTGGAACGGCGCACGGAGGAGGAGAGGGGGAGTGGTTGCGTGGGCCGGAACCAATGTCAGTAGAACTTGTCCCTCCAGGAGTTATGTTGACTCACTACGCCCTCCTTTTGTTCTGTCGAGTCAATTTGAAAAAAAAATCGCGGTTTTTTTGTTCTCCGTGTTAAGGATCCGTTGGTTCCCCGCGTTACGGATCCGTTTGTTCCCCGCGTTACAGATCCGTTTGTTCCCCGCGTTACAGATCCGTTGGTTCCCCGCGTTACGGATGCGTTTGTTCCCCGCGTTACGGATGCGTTGGTTCCCTGCGTTACAGATCCGTTTGTTCCCCGCGTTACGGATGCGTTGGTTTCCCGCGTTACGGATGCGTTGGTTCCCTGCGTTACAGATCCGTTTGTTCCCCGCGTTACGGATGCGTTGGTTCCCTGCGTTACAGATCCGTTGTTACGGATCCGTTGGTTCCCCGCGTTACGGATGCGTTGGTTCCCCGCGTTACGGATGCGTTGGTTCCCCGCGTTACGGATACGTTGGTTCCCCGCGTTACAGATCCGTTGGTTCCCCGCGTTACGGATCCGTTTGTTCCCCGCGTTACGGATCCGGTCGGCGTTGTAGCGCACTGCACAGACACACATCGAGCAACGATTGCATTTACATTGATCGCACCCAATGATTAATTTTTTTTACAAAATAACGGCAATTATAATGACGAACCACACTATTTACACGTAGCCGCTTCGCGTGTTCGGAAGACTCGTGATAAATAAATAAAAAGTCCTCCATTGGGATATTGAATGAGTTGGAAGAAACAAGAAAACTCAAGACAGAATCGATGTGAACGAGGGGTTAACACTATCCTGGCCACATCGCAAACCAGAGCCGACAACACCTCTCAGTCAAGCCTTGATGGCCACCTATCCAAGCACTCGCAGGGCTCAGTCCGGCTTATATTCGGAAATCCGACGAGATCGGGCGTACTGCGGATGGTAATTCGACCGCATGCACTCGGCTGTCTTTGTCTCCGCCACAGCCTTTGTTGACCCAGACCCCGATCAGGTACTCATCCTAGGCTAAGTAGACATAGGTGAGACCCAGATCACATTAGGATGCGAATTGCTACGGACATGTGCGTGACCAGGATCAATCATGGGTCGTTCGCACACAGTGACCCACACACGCGCGCGCGCGACACGCAAGACGCACATTCCCCTCCTATATAGCCACACAGACTGCTGGAGCACATTCTATTAGTGAGCACCTATGAAGACCGGCACGGTGCTAAAGGAGGTTGGTGTGGTGGCGCACACGCAACGAAGGATCCCTCTTACATAGCGTGTTGGGGCAAGTGCTGTTGGCGAGCACCTATGAAGACCTGCACGGCACACGAGGGGGTGGGTGGCCAGCAGCACGCCCGACCGCATTTGTCTCCCCAGTGACGATATTTACACACCGCACCAGGTACTCATCTGAGGCTGAGTCGACCTAGGAGAGGCCCAGGACCGCTTCAGATAATCGGTGGTGGCCGTGAGCGGCAAACACACACACACACGCACGCACACACACGGTGACATACCCACGTGCGGTGCCAGTCCCGCACTCGCAACAAACACTAATGGAGCGAAAAACATTCCGACTGCGGAATAGCACACGCACGCACGGCTCCCCAGCACAACAAGACGTGCACGCGGGGCAGGGCCACATTCTCTGCCCCAGGGCGCCGCGTGCCCATGCACACGCAAATTACTCCCCGCTCGCATCCTGCAATGGGGCGGAAACCTTCCGTCAACTGTCGCCCACCGCCTCCGCACGGCCCCTCCGCGCCAAGCGCCTCGTGGAGGCGCGCCCGCCGAGCACCTGGCACGTGTCCAACGAGCAGGATGACGAAATTGGCAACGAACATCTTGGCGATGGCGAGCTCCCGGCACGGCCTGCAGGAGCCGTGCACGCTGGCGCCGCTCCTGCGCACCTTGTGCACGATGTGAGAGTAGCAGTAGACCACCGCTAGGAGCATCAGGCCGGTGCGCGCGGGTGACTCGGCACGCAGCAGCACGTCCTGCGCTGCGAGCGTTTCGCAGGTGCGCTCCGCGGGGTCGTACGCCACCACCTTGCTCCTGCCCAGGTGCACGTTGAGCAGCATCACGGAGGGCACCACCACCCAGACGACGGCGGTGCGCGCCACGATGAAGCAGGCGGTGTCCACCAGCGCGACCTCGTGCACGATCTTGAGGTACAGGGTCATGGCGATGCTGTGCGAGTGGTAGAACGCCACGTACTCGCAGCCCTGGTCGACGAGGCGCGTGGCCGCGCAGCCCGCCTGCCCGAAGCGCCAGCGGGCACCCGTGCGGTAGTAGTCCACGTGCATGGGCCACACGGACATTGCGGTGAAGTTGGCGGCGACGATGCTGAGCAGGTGGGCGAGTATGCCCGGCTTGACGCGACTGACCAGCACGCTGTAAAGTAACAGGCAGTTGCCGCTCACTCCCACAAGGAACGAGATCGCTTCATAGGTGAGCACCACGCCCCTGGCTCCCAGGACGCAGCAGCGAGCGTGCGGGGTGCAGTTACTGAGGAGTTGGGCAGTGGAGTCGTTCATGGTTCGTTTGGAGCCCGTGGCGCTTTTTCTGACTGCCACTGTCCGTTGTGTCTGTGTACGGCGGCTGGTTGATGCTGCTGCAACTGCGACGTGTAATATTATACACGATGTGCCCCGGTCTCTCGTGGATACGGTGACGATATCGGTGGAGCACATCCACACGGCTCGCCCTCTCGCTCCCTCGCTGCACACGCAGCAAGGGTGCTTGAACCCACCGTGTTGCATAGTAAATCATGTTTGTGCAGGTGCGCGTTGAACAGGCCGCCCACCCCCCCAAAAAAAAACAACAACACGCGCATAAGTTGCATGGGCTCCTTTCTCTGGCTCTCCGCTCCCCTACCTACCACTGCATATTAACGACTGCGTAATTGTGCGTCATTTTCCTGGAGGCAATTTCAATGTTCAAGGTTGCATGCGTGTTGCAGAGGCAGATGCGCAGAGAGAGGCGAAAATGGTGTTTTTGCTAAGCCCAAGAGCTTAACAAAGCGTCAACGCTTTACTTAACCTCACCTATGGTGGTGTCTCCCCAAGCAAGCCACGCCGGGTGCTTGAGAGCCATCACTCAATCTAAGTGTGTTCTCACATGACAATTAAATAAAAGACATCAATCCGTTTTGACAGCTGCGAGCCGTTTACTAGTCAATCCGATTAAAGGGCAATTTAAAAATTCACATTGCTCCTTCGGTCAAGTTAACCATCGAGCACAAACCTAATGAGTGCTTTGTGTCCTTGCATTTCACGCTATCGTATTTCACAGCACTAATGTTATAAAGGTATTTAACATGATTATGCGTAGCGGAGGATCCACCTACTCCTATATGAAATCTAAATCCCAGTACTTAAGCCTACGCGCCTTTGAGATCGCTCAATTACGCAGGGGCGATTATTGGAGCAATCTTTGCCATTGGGTCCTGTTGAACGCTTTACATATTTTATTTTTTTTCAGTGCCACAGTGCAGCTTTTGTAAGCTTTTAGAGGGATAACGCCTATTTAGACGTGTTACTCCTGGCTCCGCTAAGCATAATTGCTGTTCGTGTTTTATATAAATAAACCAGACCGTGGTGTGTCGCTTAAACGCCGTCAAAATATAGGCCGTTGGTCATTGTATTTTATACGATCAGCGCTTGCATCGAGTCGACGGTTCGATCTCTGTTGCCGACGCGTCGTTTTCGTGTTTTTGGCAAGAAGGTTGGTGTCACATCCCAAAATATGAGAATTATAACCAAAACTGAAAGCTGAAAAGACAACCGTTTGTAACCTAATTATTTTCCCCTGTATTTCAAGAGATATTGAATCTCAGTGAGTTTTGGTTAAAAACATTTTTTTTTACTTTAGCTTCTTTTAATTTCATAAAAATTCAACCTCTGCTCACCTCGCCGGGTGACGCTGTTTCCAGAACATTCGACTCACGACAAGCTGGTGGCGAGGTTGGAGGCCAACTCAGCCCATCAATCTTCAACAAGTTCCACTTCAAGATCTCGTGGCCCTCTGGCTGGGTAGCCTGACCCACGCCTGAGCAACTTGCTATTTCCATTGCTTAGCTGGGGACCGCCAACATAAATTAGTGCCAACCCATTACAGTACTTGTTAACTTCGGGAGACAACGGTGATTTGAACGCCACGTCGGCGATGCGTTCCTGAAATGTCAAAGCGATTTACAGGGTAGGTGGAGGCGAAGGCTGAGGCGACGGATACGAGAAAGGACGGACGATGCTTTCAGCGACATAAGTGTGGGGGCCGAGGCGACGCAAATGAGGTCGCGGTATTAATAAAGCGACGATGTATTTGCGAAACGACGAAATATGGGAAGAGGTAAATTGGGGTATTGCTGTATTAATGCAAATTATTTTCCCATGATACACCCAAAAGCCGGCAGTGGCTTTGTGTGGTAGGCATCCGGAGTGCTATAAAAAGGGGTGATGCTCAGCAATGCAATTTCCTGGCCACATCGCAGCCCCAATCCTACAACACCTGGCAAGCTTTGGCGACCGCTCGTCCAAGTACTTAACCAGCCACTACATGCTTAGCTTCTGAGATCTGAGAATAAGTATAACCCGTAAAAACAAAGTTTTTCACTATAAATCCTTTATATGCGTAGCGGCTAGAGTCCTCTCGTCCTCTGGCTGCCACCTATGGGTCAGATGATTGTCTGCCAGTATTAAGCAATTGGTAATTAAATATTTAATTTGTTTTCCCTAAACAGTGTAAAATTTTGGAAATTTTTGTTCACGAACATTAATTGTCACGCACAACGAGTCTGTGTGCAAAATGTCAGCTCGATTGGATCACGGGAAGTGGGTTAAAAAACGACCGAAAGATTTGCACGGTCGTAAGCAAGCAAGCAAGCACGCAAGCAAGCAAGCGAACTTAATATAAAGGATTTAAAAAACAAGTGACATATTAGCCTACACTGTATATTTTATTGCACTACCCTTATAACACAACATACTAAGAGGAAAGACATTTGTAATCATCACAGACGGGTAGAATGTAATATAATTACTGTACACAAATGCACATCCACACATTCCCCTCATTAACGTTCAATAATACCCCATTAACATCACAATTTTTGGAGCCATCAAATTGCGCCTGGAATTAGTTTAATGGCAGGCACGTGTTATTTAGCTTTATAGGCACACCTCTCCTTCTCAAAACTTATTGACCACCTTGGTGAGTTTCAAAAAAATGCAATTGGCCAAAATCGATTGTTTCAGCTGCGCCTAGCTCCGAGCTGGGAGCCCAGGGGTGGTAGGGGTTGGTGGTTATGGGGTTGTGATTGGGGGGTTGGTGGTAGGGGAATGGTTCACCGTCGATTGTGGTGTGGTGATGGTAATGGAGATGGAAATGAGATGTTGTGGTTGAAGTAAAGGTGGTGGTTTTTGAGTTTGGTTGCTTGGGATGGTGGTGGTCGTGGTTTTGGAGTTGTGGTTGGAATAACCCTGGTGGTGGTTTGGGGGTTGTAGTTGAGATGAGCGCGGTGGTCGTGGTGGTTTGGGAGTTGTGGTTGGTATAATCGTGGTGGTGGTGTTTCGGGGTTGTGGTTAGTATTAGCGTAGTCGTGGTTTTGTGGTTTTGGTTGGAATGAGCGTGGGGGTGATTCGGGAGTTGTGGTTGGTATAATTGTGGTGGTGGTTCAGGGTTGTGGTTAGTATTAGCGTAGTCGTGGTTTTGGGGTTTTAGTTGGAATGAGCGTGGGGGTGGTTCGGGAGTTGTGGTTGGGATGATAATAATGGTTGTTGTTGTTGAGGGTGATAGAATTAGGGTGATAGTTTGGGGTTGTGGTTAGCCTGAAGGTTGGCAGTTGTCCTGTGGTGTTTGCAGTTGTGGTAGATGGGGTTTTAGTGGTTGGTGTGGAGGGAGGGACGGTTAGAATTTGGTGTAGCGGAAGAAGGGGTCTGGGGGTTTGAGTCGAGGTGGTTGGTGTTGTGGTAGTTTGAATGGGGGGGGGGAGGGGGTGGTTAGAGTGGGGGTGGTGGTTTGCATGGAGGTGAAGGAGGTGGTGGTTGAGGTTGGTGGTTGGGGTTGTGATGATGGTTGGTGTGGTGGGAGGAGAGGTCATTATAATGGAAGTTGTGATTTCTGTTAGAAGTTTGGTGGTTGTGGTTGTAGTGGTTGAAACGGGAGGTTAGAATGGGGGCGGTGGTTGAGGTTTGTGGCTGAGGGTTGTTATGTTGGGTTTGGGTTGTGGTGCTCGGGATGGTGGAGAGGCAGTGGTTAGAATTGGGACGGTGGTTGTTGGAGTTCGTGGCTGCGCGTGGTTATATCGGGTTGTGTTGGTGGTGGTGGTGGTGGGGGGGGGGTGTGGACGTGGTTGCGCTGATTGGGATGCGGGGGGGTTGGGTGCCTTGTGCCGCGTGTATTGGTCAGATGTCGATCCCGTACGGTCCGGTGCGTGGCGCTTTCCGCAGTCACTTTGCATACCATCCCCAGCAGCGCACCACAGCGCCTCGTTCACACACACACATGCACACACACACACCGACCGACCGACACACACACACCGACACACACACGCGCGCGATCTGAAGACGAGCTAGCGGCACCATCCGTGGCGCGAGCGAAGCAGCGGAGCTCCGGAGCGCGCCGTGTGTTTGTCGGGAGGCATCAGAGGAGGAGGAAGGGAGGGAGGAGGGAGAGAGGGAGGAATCATCATCATCCTCAACTCAGGCTCCCCGCACGGGACGTGGCATCAGCCGGACACTACAGCGGTAGCCAGCAGCGGCGGCGGCAGCAGCTCGCACAGAGCAGCACATCGAGACGCAGAGAGCAGCAGCAGCAGCAGGGGTTGGTGGTTGCGAGGAAGACGGCGTCGAGAAAACACGACCGGCTGACTACGTGCGCTCAGACCACAGCGACCGAACATCGTGAGTCTCTCTTTCTCTCTCTCTCCCCTTTGCTATCTCAGCGGCTCTCTTTTGTTGTTGCTGTTGTTGTTCTTTAAAGAAGGCTGGTTGTGTCGCGTCGGTTTGTTGAGGATGGGAGGGAGATGTTTGCCGCAGACTGTGCGACTCTTGCCGTGCAGTGTGGGACTCCGCGTGCAACTCTGCCGTGTGACTCCGCTTCACTGTGGTGCTGTGCCACTGTGTGTGTGTCACTGTGTGTGTGTGTGTGACTGTGTGTCACTGTGCCG